TATAAACTTCAGTTTTTCACTGAGCCGGGCATGTTTCATTCAGTCGTATATAATCTCCAAATCGCTTGAAGCCGAAAAAGGAACTATTATTACATCATGCTGTGTTGTCTTTTTAAACCATCAGGGGTTTGGAGCAGAAGAGGAACAAAATGTGTGTGTTGGACACGGATGAAAAAGGCAATCTGTACCTTTACAAGTATGCATTACTCTGCAAGAGCGAGATTATTAAGCGACTGATCAATGGATCTTATCACCTTGCAGAACCGAGTGACGGACCGAGTACAATAGGTAATTCATTGATAAAACTCTTTTCAAGGCATCAATGTGATCTTCATGCCCAATGCAAGCAACTTACTCTTGAAATGATCTTTTCATATTTTTTGCTAATGTATTATTAAGTTGTGATGAAATACGCCATAGATTTTTTTCATTGGATTTTTTCTGTGGGTCACCTGCAGGAAGACTTTATCATTTATCTCTGAGTCCTTTTCTGACTGAGATCTTGGCGATGTACCGGGAGGGCGGAGGAGACGGAGGCCATTTTTGGGAATGTTAAAGTATGTTGACAACAGCGCTTGTAAAAGATCCAGTTTGCGACAAAAATCTTGTAAAATTAAGAAGTGAATTTAAGGCTTTAGTACTTGATTTTCTTTTCTTATCGGCTTTGAATACAGGACAAAGCAAAGTAAACCCAGCCTTGAATTGCAAGGACTTGAAACACAAGGCGCCATCACTTGTGTCAGGCGTCTATTGGATAGATCCAGATGGTGGTTCTCATGGTAACGCATTCCAGGTCTACTGCGACCAACAGACGGACGGTGGGGGTTGGACATTAGTTTGGAGCTACACCTTCACAGCTTACTCAAATTTCACGAGTAGTGCAAACGCTGTCACGCCGCGTCCAAGCTGGGCAGCCAGTGGAGCTAACACTCGAGTGTCTACAACAGTTCCATTGAGTGAGACAGATTACGAGGCCACTAACTTTTCTTTGTGGCGCACCATTGGTAATGA